CATGCTTCTACTCCACGTCAACTTAGTGATCACCATTTGTCAGATTCAGACCTGTTCTTGCAGCAGCCCCACATAGAGGGTCTCATTGTCCCTGTGTCACACTCAGGAAACTGAAGCTCAAAGAGTCAGCATCTCTAAGGCAGCCCCCTGCGGGTCAGGCTTGAAAACTCGATTGCACCCAGGGTGGCCCTGGGGGACAGCTGGCACCCAACTCCCACCGTGGTGCCATCTTTGCCAGAGGTTTCTGATCATACCATAGGACTTTGCCCAACATGCTGGCAGTTGACAAAAGAGAGGAGGAAGGGACTGGTCCACAACGTGGCTCTGCCGACTGTCTTCCTGCCACCATGGCTTTGCAGCTCAGGTGGTGCTAGGGACAAGTCTGAGGGCACGAAGGGGTGACCTCACAAGGTTCCCAAGACAGAGCAGGCTCAGGCAGCAGCTCCCAAAGTGGGCCACCCACCAGGGTCACCTGGGGGCTGGTCAGCTCCTCCTGTAAGACCGTCTCAGGGTGGAGCCAGGCCCTGGTGGATTTCAAAGACTGCCAGGGATTGCAACGGGCACGGCCCTGGAAAGCACTGGAGTAGAGGCTGCAGGCTGGCCCGGGGCTTTTTCACGTGGTCCATTTCCTCAAGGAAGAGTCTAGTTGCCATGGCACCAGGTGGACCTTTAGGCACATGGAGGCAGGCCTGCAGGATTCGGGACGCGGAGTGTCGGGGCCCAAGGTGCAGCCATGTCGTGACAAGCAGAGGCTTTGGGTGGCGGGTGCGGAGGGACAGCACCAGCACCAGCACCTGGCTGACTTCCCGAGGACAGGGCATGTCCTGCACATGGCCATTTCTAGACAGGGGGCAGGGGTTGCTGCTCAAACAAGGAGGGGCGCCTGGTCTGGGCTCTGGGGACCCGGATTCCCCAGGGCCTGCTGAGGTCCCAGACTTCCTGACAAGGTGCAGGGAGCATGCCAATGAGAGCCAGCAGGGCAACACTGGGTCCCTGGGTGTGGCCTTCAACAGCCCAGGTCCTTCATTCCTGGGGAGAGCCCATGCTGCAGGGGCAGGGAGACACCATCTCTGAGCTCAGATGGGCTAAGGGAGGATGTGAACTTCAGACTGAGGCCAACACCTGGCCCCAAGCCCTGGGGGCTCTGGCACTGACCTGGTGTTGTTTGGGCAGCGGAAAGCCAGTGTGTCTTCCCGGCCAAGGAGAGGGTGAACTGCGGCTACCCTAACATTGACCAGGAGGCCTGCACCAACCGCGGCTGCTGCTTTGACTCCAGCATACGAGGGGTGCCCTGGTGCTTCGAGCCTATGCAGAAGGAAGGTAAGGCCCAGCATGGTGACCACAGGTGCCTGGTGTCTCAAGGCCCCATCCTTCCTGGGCCTGAGCATAGACATGAAGACCCCCAGAAAGGCCCATGTGCCTGGGCTTGTGCAGGACAACCAGCACTGTCACTGTGACTGTCTGTGTGGAGAGCCTCTTATCAGTGGCCCTCTGCTGAGGGCAACTGGTAGCCACTGGCTGGTCCCATTTGTCCCCTTTCTATACAATATAAAAGGGACGCTGTTAAAAGATGTTCTAGGTTAAGGAATCCTGTAGAAGGAACCAGATTAAACTGTCCCACAGAGAAGGGGAGATGTGCAGGTGTGGAATGCTGAGCTGACTTTTGAGGCTATTTTCTGCAAACCAAGCACCCAGGGTCCCTGTCATCTGTGACTTGCTCACAGCAGCTGGTGGCCATGCTGGTGTGGTGCCCTGGTGCCTCCCTGCACCCCAACCTGCTGCTGACTGCCCACTGGGTGTGCCTCTCCTCCCTCCTCCCTCAGTGGACCAGGGGTCAGTGGGGGTGCAGCACAGCCCCCTCTTGCTCTGGGAGGGGCCCTGTGCCTGAGCCAACCACAGATGGCGTGAGCACAGGTGGTTTGCCATCCTGGCTCCATCTGGGCCCCACCCACCAGGTCTTGGGAGTGCCTGTCTGCTCAGAGCCATCTGGCCTCCCAGGGGCCAGCTCACCTTCTCAGGACCTGCCTTCCCGAAGCACCTTCCTGGAATCAGAGCCAAGGGGCCAGACTTGGCTTTGTCCTGGGGCGGCAGGGAGGAGGCTGAGCTCCAGCTGCTGCAGCCTCTGACCAAGGATGGCGTTTGCCTCCGTCCTGAGCACAGCCAGGGAGGAGGGCCGGAGAAGGCTTGAGACCAGCCACGGAGCTGGCCTTGCCCCTGCTGGCTGTCCCCCTTCCTCTGCCTGCCCTCTGGGGACTCCGCCTCTTCTCTGAGTGCTGGCCAAGGGTCCTGCCAAGGCACACCTCACTTCTCCCCTGCCCTGATGACCTGGGTCCAGATGTTTCCCCTAGTGACCCTCCATGGGAGAGGCAGCTGTCCTCACAGGCTGTGGGGACACTCTGTGTTTCCCTGGAACCCGGGGGCGGCTTCAGAGAGGCGCTGCCTTGGAGACCACCCTGCCTTGGCATCCAGGCTGGGCAGGGTGGGTGGAGGTGGCACCGCTCACCCTAACTTCTGTGCTTTGTCCCCAGAATGCACGTTCTGAAGCTCTGCTCTCTGTGGCCTGGGATGGCACCTGCCTGTGGATGGTGGCTGGCAGAGGGGGCTGCCCGTCACGGCTCCCCCTGCTCTGGGCAGGCGCGTCAGCTGAACACTCGTGTCCAGGGTCTGCTGTCTAACGAATAAAGCTCTCATGCTCAGCATGAGGACCCTTCTTCCTGCCACGCCTCTGCCCTGTGTGCCTCCCCTTGGCTCCTCCCTCCTACGTTCTGAGAACCATGTCTCATGCACGTTGTTAAAAAGCTGGGCCTGCCTTTCTTGGGCAGAGAGAAGGCAGCAGTCCCCTCACAAATGGGAGCTTCTTGTATGTGTTGGCAGGTCAAGTGTAACCCCGAGACCCTTCCATGGCCTTCTTCCCTCTTCTCCTTCATGAACACGGGTCTGCTGTATGAGCCATCAACGAGTGTCACTGACCTCCCGTCCCATGCGGAGTCCCGGCCTCTGAGGGGAGGCTGTGGCCCGCCCTCCCTGGGGCAGCCTGGCTCTGCACTCACACTGGGAAGGCCCAATTGTGCCCAGGGTGGGCCAGCACTCGGCCCCCACGGGGACCGTCCTAAGGGGCGTCTGCCCTGTCATGGTGCAAAGGCCAGGAGTCCCCTGTGCCCACAGGGTGGGGTTGCTTGGTGTCCTCCCCCTGGGAAGGGGACTCTGGGGCCCTAGGCAGCAGCCTTCATTCTGACCCTGTGCTGGACCCTGACCTTGACTCCCACTCCCTAGAAGTGCCACAGAACTGCCCTTGGCCTATGAGGGGCATCTCTCAGGTACTCGTCCTACGGCTGGGACTGGGAGGACCATGTCAGGAGGTCCTGGTCTTGGAATCCAAAGCCTTCCTGTCCCTTCATAATGGTGTGAGGTGCCACCTGTCTGACCTCAAGTGACCCCACACCTGGGCGTGCACCAAAGACCTGCCTTGCACCTGAGGAGGGATGCAGCCGGGCTCGCCTGGCCAGGTTGCTGCCTGGGCCCTGTCCCCCACTCCTCACAGATTGCCCAGCCCTGAGGCCGAGCCCCATTACAGTTGCAGGATGCGAAGTTTCCCTGGCCCTGGGCCCAGCCTCAGGCCTCACAGCTGCTGAGACCCCTGGGCTGGTCAGAGCCTGAGCTCTGTTGACTTCCCTCACTGACCTGCATGTGCCCTCCCCCCTCGCCCTCCAGCAAGACCTCTGTCATGGGAAACTGTCCACCTGTGTCCCCAAAGGCCCCCTTGCCCTGCACCTGCTGTGCCAGGACTGCCCTCCCTGACCTGGGCTTATGTGCCCCCTGTGCTGTGCTCTACCTGGCCTTGGTCTCTTGTGCCCCCTCTGTTCCCTTGACAGTGACCCAGTGCCACCCCAGAGCCTGCATCTGGGCAGAGCCCTCCTCCTCCCCCACAGAGCTGCTCCCCTCTTCAGCTGAGCTTGTCCCCAGCTGAGCTAGCACCATGGCTCACACAGGTTCTAGAAGTTTCTCTCACTACTCTGTGTGTGCATTGAGTTTGCT